TTGCTTGTAATTAACCAATATAAAATACATGTTATAACAAATTTTGCATCGCTTTTTTTTGCAAAAAAAAAAAAAAACAACCGATAATTTAAATAAGTTTAAATAATGACAGCAATTTTATTTTTATTAGCTAGATGACGTACGTACGTAATAGTTTCTAGTTCCGACTGTTCATACCGTTCCGACCTAAACTACAATAATCACATTTCGAGCCAGTTATGTAACAGATTGTTACAAATAGATTTGCCCTTATTTAAATATTTCAAATACTGTATTTAAAAAAATAAATAAATCTGTTTCGTAAAAAAAAGAATTGAGGAAGAATTTAAATGATCTCTTCAACCATTTTCATAATCAAAGTGAGATGAAACGAGAGTCATTCCACACTCCAATAAGGATTCCACTCTGGATTAGTGCCTGATAAAGTAGTAGAGCTCTTAGATCTGCGATTACCGAAGAAGGTTGTGAATAGAGCATTAGAAAAATACAAGGTGCCTTCACAACGTAATAGGCGAAGGGTCAAAGACAGATAAAAACAATACAAAAATACAATAAAACACAATTCTGAGAGCTATATTAATATTCTTCAAGATTGTCTTATAAGTATTATTGACAATAATATAATTTTTCAACAAGATAATACTCTATTCACAAAACTTTATAGTTTAAGAAATAATATATTTTTGGCAAAACGATTAAATGGCGAAAACCAGAGTGCGTAGTTGTGTCAATACTAGTGATGGAAGTGCAATGTCGTAATTTGTAATTATTAATTATACGTATAATATTAATAATTTATTAGTTACATAAAATATTTTTGCAAATAATAAAATAAATATCATGTTATTTTCCGGCAAAAGTAATAATTTAGTATAAAACTATTTAACATATAATTTGGTCTCGTTATTGTATCAATTAAAGTATTAAGTGCAAAGCACATTCTTCTTCAAAGAAAGAAATATTTTATAGATCTGCATTATCTGCATTGCGAATCCATTCATCATGTCGTTTCACTAATTCAGGAATGATTTTGGCTTCAATTTCTTTACCCTCAGCAATTTCATCTTCTGTCAATTTGATTTGAAATTCTGAATCCCGAGTAATAAGAATAACTTCACGCTTCCTGGTATCGAGTAGATTTGCAATAACTATTTGATGACCATATCGCGTAAGAGCATGTCTCGATTTATCAACTAAAAGTGCGGGATCTGTCTCTAACTGAAATAATAGTAGAGAATGTCAATTTATATTGTTGATTTATGAATTAAAATTTTTTTTAGATGTAAGAAATTATAATTGTATAAAGTTCTTAACTTTAAATGAAACAGTGAATCCACGAGGAGCCCAATACATAACCATTGGTTTCAAAAATTTTGGCACTTGATCCATTGTCAGAGTCAATCCACCACCTCCTGACTGAATTTTATGTTGAGGCTAATGTAATAAATAAACAGATAAACAAATATCATGAATTCTTTTTTTTTAAAAAAAAACATGGAAAAGAAAAAAAACTAATATAATTAATATCAAATAAATTAAATGGTTTACCATTTTTTGGGCTGGAATAAAAAAGTCACTAACAGCTGCCGCAAGATAATACATAGCATGTTCCTTTAAAACAGACATGATTTTTGTAACACTTTGAAGAAGGAAAAGATAATCAGACACAGTAACAAAATCAAGGAATAAAAGAGTTTCATTCTTTTTGAACTTTGCATTATAAGCGTAAAAATAGAAAAATAAAATAAAAAAGTAAGGGAACTAGATCATAATTACCGAAAATAATATATTATTTAGTAAAATTTTAATTACCTCTTGATATTTTTCTAAGACAGCTTTCATCTTTGGAGAATATTTGGAACTAACTAACAATAAAGTAAATAAGAATGTTTATAAAAGGGTCGAAAATTATATTTCTACTGATAAACCTATTACCTCCAATACTTCCATCGCTTTTCAGTTCCATAAAATCTAAGAAACAATTTTTAGAATGCGAATAATGTCTGCTATAAGGTTGTAAACTAAATTGTCTATGCATGAATATTACAGCGTATCCCATTTCAAGAAAATACGTATTTTGTGATATAATGATAATAGAAAGAATTTAACACTTGAAAACTATCAAATAATAGAATGATCAAAGGATATTCAGCAGAAGTAGCGCCACGGGTACCGGCGCTGAAATTATCAATAAATCTCACAGTACTGTTCTCAAGTGGAACTGTAGTTCCTCCACTCTTATATACGAGTATATGAAAAAAAGTAATTTAGTAATGAGGCAAATTCAGTTGTTTTGTCACCTGTCATATTAACATTACCGTAATTAAAACTATCTTTCTACGAGCTTCATTATGTTTATTTACAAATTCTTTAACTCGAATTTCGTTCTCAATTAATGTTCGCGGTGGTTTGTGAGTTTGAAAATATGTATCAGGGTTAATTACCTCCGAAGAGCCATTGTCTAGTAAAGACATTTTTATTCTTAATATAGTGTAATTTGAATATAATAAAGACAAATTGTAATTTTCATTAATTTTCAGAATCTACTAAATAATCGGTTTTGGCTGATAACGATAACGATAAAGTTGCTGATACGTACGTACGTAAAATAGCTCGATATATGTGACACCAAGAGAAAATGGGACATCGGTTTATCATAAATAAATAATCAATGTAACCAATGTCTTGGTGTCACTTATATTGTATTGATTTAATTTGAAGAAAATTTATTTTGCTTTGATCTTTACTATATACTAGGCAATAATTTCTACTTGTAACTTATTCTATACAATCATCACAAGCACCATATTTAATGTCGGGGATGATGCTAAAATTTAGAGTCTCTATTTAAAACTATAAAACCTACTAAAACCTATCTATACATTTTAATTATTAAACCCTAACTATAAAAAGACTAAAAACTATAAAACCTACTAAAACCTACCTATACATTTTAATTATTAAACCCTAACCCTAAACTACAGGGGGGTACCATATTATTGTGGATACTTTTTAAAAAATTATATCAAGCTAAATAAACATTATATTAATTTAAAAATTATATAATAAACTTATCAAATCTAA